ACCTCATGTCTTTTCTAATTTACTGCAGAATACTCCTCTTTGTTCTATTGAAAGAGGAAATCCTTTAACTGTGAAATTCATTTTAGTTTTACTGACTTCCATGAATTTGATTAATATTTAACGGTTGTATTTTTAGTCAATTATATACACTTTCATTCCTGCATTTCTAAAAAAGAAATATAACTGAACATTAAATTAATGTTTTAAAATTGTGATTTCTGAATATTTTACAAAATTCTGTCAAAATAATATTTTCCATTTTTCTCCTTTGCATTTTCTGTCTTTCAAACAGTAACTACAGTCAACTAAACTAGTTACAAATTCTTTCTAAAAAGTTTCAGACACTTTATTTGGTGATTTTAATAAAAAAAATAGAGCAAGGTATTACTTGGAATTTCTCTAATGTACAATCACACTCACTGCCCAGAGCAACAATTTTGTAGTTCTTTACACTAGGGAAAATATCTAATCATTAGTTTCTTTAGCTAATTCAGAGACTTTCATCATTTCCTAAAATATAATTATTAAGTAGGTTAAAATACCTCATTATAAGATTCACTGTTTCTTTCCCACACTTTATTTTTAAAAGTAGGATGTTTGCTATAAGCATGGGGTTTTTTTAGCACTGTCATCTTATTCTTTATCTTAGTTATTATTTGACCAATGTTCTTTGTGATTGAAATTTGAGTGAAAGTTTATAGCTGAATTTAATGCCTAGTCTTAAATTTTATGTTAAATATTCAGGTGCTTTTTTTTCTTCTTCTTTTTTTTTTTTAATATTATAAAAGCCTTGGTAGATTTTCTTCCTTCTCCATGTTCCAGCAGACACTTTCCTCAAGCATCACTGTAAGTAAGTGTAGTGTTTAACAGTTCTGAAAGAACTTGATATGGAAAGCTGTGAAACCCAGGGAATTCATCAGTAGACTTACTAACAGAAGCGTAACAGAAGCTATGTGGTCTGTTGCCTTTACAAAACTTTCTTGCACTGGAGAAAAGTTGTGGGAAGTTAGTTTATTGATTTGAGTTTTGTAACTAGGTAAGTAAACCAGGTTGAAGACCAGTTTTCAGTTATGGTTTGTTTGGTTGTTATTTTATTTTCCTTTTTTTTTTTTTTGTGGTTTTGTTTTGTTTGATTTTTTTTTTAACTTTTCTTCTTTTTTTAAGTAGTGTTTTGCTTTGCTGGAGTTTTCCTTAATCTTTCTTTTTGACCTCAGTGTAGCATTTTTAAGACCAGTTTGGAGGTCGTTTGTGATTTTATTATAATTTTATTAATGATAGGTAATACTTTCCATCTCTAGGAATTTTGTCTCTGTTACTCATCACGCAAATTAACCTGTTCTGTTGCAAACAGAATGTGGCTTTATGTGCCTTTCCTGTGGTCTTTGGATTTGCAGTTTTTCTTTTTTTGACTTGCAGTCAAACAGTACTAATTTTTTAATGTCTCTTACTGTGTGCTACAGTCGAGTTGGACAATACGATTTTACAGGCAATAGTGAGCCTTCTGGCTTTGTTTTGTGTCTTGCAGACACATGGATTAATTAAGATCTTTAGTGATTGTGTGGATCTCTAAAAAGTCAGTTTTACTGTGTTACCTGTTATACTCCTTATTTATAACTATTCTTATTTTTGGTTGCTCAGAGCCCTATCCAACCTGACCTTGAATGTTTCCAGGGATATGTCATCTGCAGCCTCTCCAGGCCACCTGTTCTACTGTTTACCACACTCACTGTAAAAAATATCTTCGTATATATGGTCTAAATCTACTTTCTGTCAGTTTAAAACCATTATCCCTTGTCCTTTCACAGCAGGCCCCATGAAAAAGTCTGTCCCCATCTTTCATATAAGCTACCTTTAATTATTGAAAAGCCACAATAAGGTCTCCCTGGAGCCTTTCCTTCTCTGGGCTGAACAATCCCAGCACTTCCAGCCTGTCTTTGTAGCACAGGCTTTCCATCCTTCTGATATTTTTTGTGGCCATTCTCTGGACCTGCTGCAAGAGATTCATGTCTTTTCTGTGCCCTTTAGTTTGACCAGCAGGTTTCAATTCATCCATGCTGGTCTGTTGCCTTCCTTTCCTCATTTCTTGCACCTGGGATCAATAGCTATTGCACTCTATGGAAAGTGTCCTTAAAGATCTGACAGCGCTATTCTGCTCGCTTGTCCCTGAGGGGAGTTTCCAAAGGGTCCTATTGACTAACTCCTTGAACAGTTGGAGTTTTGTTTCCTAAAATTCAGGATCCTGAGTTTACTTTCTGCCTGACCTTCAGAGCTGTGAACTCCCAGCGCATGATCACTGCAGTTCAGGCTGCCTCCAATCTTGACATCACAATTAACCCACTTGCACTGGTGACCATCAGGTCCAGTATCTCATCTCCTCCAGTGGGGCTGTGCATTACTCGGCTTAAGAAGTTATCTTCAATGCATTCCAGGAGTGTCCTGGATTGCCTACAGCTTCCTGTGCTGCAGATATCAGGGTTGATATCTGAGAGCAGAATGAGAGCCTATGAGCATAATGCCTCCTGTAGATGGAGCAAGAAAGCTTGTCATAGGCTCACCTTGATCAGGCAAGGTTCCCACACCAATTGCAAGGTTACTACATAACTCTTAAAGTAATATTTTAGAATTAAAAGGCCGCTGTAGATATTTTCATCTAATCTATTTTTGTATTTAAACATACAGACACAGAAATTAAATGAAGCTTAACCTTCATTATGCCTCTATTTGGTTAAAAAGCAAGCAAAAGTGTCAGTGACCAGAAGACCAATCTTGAATTGTGTCCTTAAATTAGAAATTATTTGATCATCTCTTTTGTATGGTAGGAAGAAATACTCCGCATTATGATGATGTTGCCTTGCATGATTCCTGGTGCATGCAGTAAATTTCTTCTTTTACTGAATTTTTGGTTTGATTTTTTGTTTTGTTTTGTTTTGAATTGCTTTGTTTTGGTTTATTTTTTATTCAGATTGCCTGAGAGTTTAGAAAACTAATGTGAATCCAAGTCACAGGGTAACTACTGAAACAAATCCTAACTTATCTGTTTTGGAAAAAGGGAGAATCTCTGAGGGAGCAGCTTATCATATATCTCAGTTGTTCCTTTATCTGTCATAAACAGATGGAAGAGCCTTTGGTAAAAATAGGTATTTTAGAAAGGTACTTGCACATCAGAGGGGAATAGTGAATGTACCATTCACTTAGTGAGACTGCTTGTCATGCCCTTTTAAGGGTGTTGGAGTACTACCTGGAGACATAGGATCTTGCCAGTGTGCTAAAAGGGCCCAATACAAAACCTATTAATGTCAGTGGAACAATTCCCATAGACTTAGATGAACTTTAAATCAGGATAAGCAAGTACTCATGTCAGTATTTTATTTGAGTCATATATGGGCCCACAAAGGAGAGGAGGCATTTGCAAGCTAGAATAAAACATTTTCAGATCCCAGTAGTAAATCTCACTAGGTGTGATTTCATGATCCTGAAATGGCATTGGGCTTTGTTTTATACTGTCATCAATGAACAAATGAGCTGATAACTTCTAGCAGACGTGCAGAAGAAGCTTGTGTTGACAGAAAGACCTCCTATATATCAAAACAAAGTAACTTGTAGGAGTTGCAAAAACTGTGTTTTCTTTCTACCAGTTTTATTATTTTACTACTTCCCCTGCATCAGAATTTGATCTGTTCTATAGTTGAGGCAGATTTTAGCTAATCCCTTTCAACAGTGCGAATTCTAATAGTGTGAGACATGGACGAATCCATATTTTCAGATAGTTATGTACACTACTTTTAGACACAACTACAACCAATACAAATTTCTGGCTGGATCTTGGATTTTTATTTTAACACAATTCAGTGCTGTAGTGATAGATAAATAAGTAGGATAACCTACCATTTTGAAGGGGGGAAATTACATGTTGTTAAATACAGATTTGTTAAACTTAATTTACTTTTGTTTATCCTTACCCCCATCATAGATACGGCTGAAAGAACATTAATAGTGTGTGAAATTTTGTTTGTTTTTTTGTTTTTTTTTGTTTTTGTTTTTTTTTGTGTGTGTGTGTCTTTTGTTTTGTTTTGTTTTGTTTTTAATAAGCAATTGATTGTTGTTTTTTTTCCCCTAGTGCTGCAGAGAAGATATGTACATACTCTGATTTGATACCATTTTTTCCTCTGGTCTTTTCACTATCTTATCCTCATTTGTTTAGATTTTTGAATCTCTGAAGATAGGCCTTAGGTGTAGCTTGGCACTTAGTTTTCAGAGCAGCTGTCGTGCAATAGGAGCTACCGCCGCAGGAGCCCCGTCAAATGAGCAGTTTTTGAATATAAATTGGAGAGGACGAAAAGAGAGAGAGCTCATAGGAAACAGCATATGTCTGATTTTCAGATTGATAGATTTAATGTTGAAGTTCTTTTGTTGTCTTGAAGACTGTAAGTTTATTGACAGCTTAGCTTATAATCCCTTGGGTTTCTCTAACATCTCCTGAAAATTGAAATCTTGAACAGATGAAACAAATGTCCTTTGCAAAATCACAGAGAGTGTATGAACTGGAATTTTAAGATGCTCACAGACCAGAATATTGTCTTACAGATCTCCAAAACCAAGCTGATACTCGGTACTCATTACTGATGCAATCTAATACATGAGGGGTACATAATTGGCTCATTTTTAAGACTGATTGCACATCACATTGCATTGCCAGATGTGCCTATGTCCATCATGATGTGCATTATTACAGACAAAAGAAGTGCCAAAGAATGAATAAAGTGGCTTATACTGGCATAAGCAATTAGGTTTGTGTGCTTACAGGAGATGAGAACACTTTTCAACATAAGAAAGATTAATTCAATAGCTAAAAGAGATCAAGAACAAATCTGGAATAAATGTCTACCTCTTCTACTTATTTAGAGTAAGATGTGCAGTTCAGCAGTGGGTGCCATATAATGGTCTTCCATGTCCCAGATGAACTCCATTGTCAGCAGCTGAGGTGAAGGTTTATTCTCTTTTGTTGCATTTTGAAGAGTTCCTTCATTGTACAGTGAACTTCAGAAAGTGTGCATTTACCTTGGAAAAAAGTATCAAAGAGACCCAATTACAGCTGGTCAATTTGCCCCCAACAAACTTATCCGGTCTTAAAATACTTTAAAAAAACAAACAACAAAACAATTCACAAAAAATAGCAGCCAAAAAAAAAACAAACAAAGAAAGAAAAAAAAAACAGGAAGGGTTTTCCTTGACCATCAAGTCCAATGATCTGCTACTGTAAGCTAATCATGACATAATCTTGTTCATAAATGCACATCTCCCTTTAATAGGTCTAGTCTGTGTTTGCAGAATTGTTCTTTTTTTTTACTCTTAGGCATTGGTTCACAGCTTCATTTTCTCATGGTTAGAAATCATCTTCTAATTTACAGTGCAATTTTCAGGCCAAATTATATACCTTTGTTCTAGTGCTGATACTGTCTTTTAGCTTTAATAGCCTTTCCCTCTCCCTTGTGCTTGTTCCCAGATGTATTTATAGAGAACAATCACCTACCTTCTTATCTTACATTTTGCTAGGCTAAACAAGCCAAGCACTTTCAGTCAGTTCATGTAAGATTGGCTTTGTTTGCTATGCACTAAATCTCTTTCTAAAAAATTACCAAAAGACAGACTTACTGGGAAATAAAATTTCAGTGCATGCCACAGAACATTCAGAAAGCCTTCCAAACTTGTTTCAGACATAAGTCTGAAAAAAAAGCAAGAAACTGTTTTTAAGCTACAGATTATTAAATCCATAAGTCAAAGTTGCAGGTAATCAAAGTTCAGTAATAATGCTGTAAATGCTAGTTTATATATACAAATTTCTGGAAAATTAGACCAGTCCAATTTACTGTGCAGCACAAGCTAAACCAGGAAGACATTATTTTCTTTGTAGAACAGGAAAGGAACTGAATTTAGAAAAACTAAACCAAAGAATATACCATTACCTCAAAAAAAAAAGAAAACAAAAAAAAAAGCCAGGTGTCTACCCTTATTTTCCTGCAAAAAGCCTATTTAAATGAAATCTAATACATATGCTTGTGTCTGAGGTTTTACACTGGGACCATGTATTGGGCATATCTGGCAATGTTTGGGTGGCAGGGGTCTATGGAGGGAGTCCATGAGCTGCCCTGGGCCAACCAGGCAACCAGTGGAAACAGACCACTTGGTTTCAGCACTTGAACAGGCAGAGTTGATGACTTACAACTGTTTGTCTGGCAAGGCAATATACAGTAGTAAAGGCTCAGTTCAATACTGGCAGCCAAAACCATCAACAACCGGTCTCAATTGATGTTTATTATATTTTTTTTGTTTGTTTGTTTCTAGCCCGGGACTTGCTTGAAATTCAGTTATCTGAAGTCAATAAAAGTTGACTACTTTAGTAGTAAATGTAATAATACAGGGACTGTCTTGATCCTAGAGAAACAAAACATGTCACTATGTAAAATTTTGCCTTTTCTCTCCTCTTTGGTGTTTTCAACACACAAGGCAGTTAGTATGTGTGGCAATTAGGTTATCCCCCTCACCAGCATAGCCTTCCTTCTCAATGTTGAGACAAAGAGAAGGAGCTAATATTGACCTTGGAAACAGTTTAGTGTCTTTCCCCTTCACTTAAAAAGAAGAGTTTTCAGTCTGAAAGGCAGTCAGTGTATTACCTTGTATAATGTTAAAGCTATATAACTTTTAATGCATTAACTTCTTTTAACTTCATGCTATGGAACGCGGAAGTGTATCAAGAATCAGACTCCAAAAAGACTCTAAGTATAAATGAAGAGCTGAGGCTAGACTGTAACTGATTCATCCTCCCTTTCCTCCTGCAGCCAAGCTAATATTCCTTACCCTGACAACATGATATTTAAGATCTGCTTGACTTACCAGAGTTACTTGCATTTTATCACCTATTGTTGATGACTGCTGGTAATAAAGCTCCAGAGTTCCTATCATCTCAATGAAATTCATGCTTCTGTGGTTGCTACTGCTTGATTATACCAGGCCTAGACTTTCAGACATCAATCTATATAATTGGGTTTTCTTTCTATGTAAAAAAAAATTTAAGGAGGATGAACCAGATACTGTGTTAATCTTGAATAAACCCTTTAATTTATTGTATTGATAATATGCACTGAAAAATATCAATGGAATTATTTATATAGAAAATATAGATTTTTTTAAAGCTAACATATATTTATAAATTGTTTCCAATTTGCTCAAACAGTTAGACTATTTTCATTAAAACAATAAGGAATGAGAGGAAAATATGTACTATCTTTTGGCTTGTATATGGCAGGATTACTGTCAGGCACTTCCTATGATAATGAAGGTCTGATGGGTATAAAGGATCTAATTTGATCCTCTTGCTATTTTTTTTTCCACTAAGAATAAAAGTCAGCTTAAAACACTTCTGAAAAGTCTTTTCAAAATACCTGAAAATTCTTCTACTGATAATGTATATACACATAATATGAAGATTCTTGAACCTTCCTGCTAAAGCAGAGAATAAAACTGTTTAGGATTTTCAGTTAAAATGTTTATTATCCTCTAAAACTCTCAAATTTTGTCAAAATAAGCTTTTTAACTTACAATTTGTTTAACAACTATAATGATTTTCAACATAAAAAATTAAAACACTTTGAAGAAAATGGAGGTGGGTTTTGTTTGTTTCTTTTTTGTTTATATTTTAAGAAAACATGCTCCAATCACAATCAAAGATAGATAACTTAAAAATGTTAAAACAAAGATATTTTAGAGACAGGAAATATTTCTTTATTTTTATAATTCTTGAAGGTAAACATATGATAAACTTTCCCGGAACTTACAGGATGGACTTAAAGTGACAGACAAATGCAGGAGCTGAAATAATGCATTGAGGTAAAAAGTGAAGAATATTAAAACTCAGATTATGTCATAAAAATTAAATAGTATCACAGATTCAAACATAAAATGTAGTAATAGGTGCAAAATGGAATTCTTTACATGAAGGACTTGACAAATAATGTTGTCTTAATTTGGTAATCAAAAACATTCATGAGATCGGGGACAAGCTGGAAAACTGTCTAAATAAAATCAGAACTAGCTTTGCTAATATAAAGAGCACTGTGAAAGTCTTGCTGCAGAAAATCCTACAAGAGAAACATTTAATAATGAACAAGAACAAACAGGAGAAACAGATATGGCTGGCAAAGAATATATAAATGAATGCAAAAGAAAAGAGAACAATAAAAAGAATGTAAATACAAAGCCAAACTAAAGCAACAACAAAACCCAACAATGAGCAAACAAACAAAGAACACCCAAAAAAAACCCCAAACCACACAAGGGAGAGTCAGAATGCTGTAAAGCTCTAGCAGAGATAGACTTTATTGTGCTCAGTGAAAAAGCTCACCCAGTGATATCACAACTGTCTGGCTGAAATGAGGACTAGGGCTGAAACTAAGAAGGCCATTTTAAGGAATTTCTTCTTAAAGCTTAGGAGCTGGTCTTCTGAAACATCTGAAAAAAATCATATCTCTGAGAGTTGCATTTCATATTTTCTCCAAATGCGTGTTAGGTAACTAACATCGCACATGTCTAACTGCATGCATAAATATATAAATAAGGAAGGTGTCTAAAACTTCTAATCTTTCCAATGAAATACCAAATGCAGTTGGTTAAAGCGATTCTTTTCTTGGTTTTGTAGGGTTAATGTATTAAATTCACTGTCAAAAAAAAAAAAAAAAAAAGGTGGCAACAGAGCAACTTGAGAGACTGGAGGGTGAGGAAAAGAAAAATACTGATTTTGTGGAAAAACCCGGTTGTAAATACTTCTCCTTCCTTGCCCTCTGGTAACCTGTGTGTTTACTCCAATTCCTTTTATCTAGGTGTGGCACTTGGGTAGTTACAGCATGTTAGTTAGCAAGTATTTTTCCAGTATTCGTGGATTCAGGTATTAATGACTGCATAGCCAGTGGTACAGCTAGGAAGCTTGTTAACACTGCTGTGTTTAAGTCCCAGTAAGCAGGAAGTTACTGAAAACAAAATGCACCTACAAAAATGCCTCCTATTTTGAAAAGAAACCAATACTGTCTGCAAACTGAAAGTTAACAGATGCATTTTACATGGGCCTAGTGAATTACTACTATTCAAAAAACACATTAGAAGAAATATAATCCTGTTTGGCAGAAATTGGTTTTTATGTAGTGAAAAGTCTAAGAGTATTCAGACACCACTGAAGTTATCCTTTATTTGAACAATGTGATAATGCCTGTGTGATTTTACCTACACAGTCAGAAATGATATAGTTTAACTTCCAATGAAGAATGAAATAATGCTCCCTAAGGTTTAGAAAAATTAGTCCATTGAAATAAAAAATATAATTCATACTTATTCAATTGTTTGTATACCAGTGGCTGAAACATAACACATTAAGGAAATTTGATCTTCATAAAAATATCTATATGAAAGCAGTTAAATAAACAGAACTTAATGTAATTTCAGAACTAGCTTTGTTTTTTGTTTTTTTTTTTGACATGTAGCTTTAAAGTTGGATTCTCTTACACTTGTATGTACTAAAACTTACATTCCTAAATAAAGATTCAATGCATGAGTTGTGTCTGTGATAATTTGGGATAAACAATGTGTCTGACAGCTAACTAAAACCTATTAGTTTATTTTATAGATGGAGTTGGGCTTCTATTTTTCAGATTATGTGCTTTTGCTGTATATGTTGTATTAGTAGGACATCTCACTATTGAAAGTTTGGAAATATCATTGTCTTAGGACCACATAACAAAAATAAATTTGTTCTCTCTGTATGCCCTGTACCCACTTCAGACTCTATACAACATCCAGATTTCTCTATGTAGCAACTATTTTAGATGAGACCAAAAGACTTTCTTTTTCTTACGCTGACCTTTCTTTGCATCTGTTCTTTCTGAACATGTAGAAAGGCCATCACAAGCTTTCTTAGAGAGCATACAGACAAGGTGAATATTTTAACTATTCCCTTACCATCTCACCAGATGATAGCTCAATTATTGTAGCTTTATGTAATTTCTATAAGTAAGTAACAATGTACAAATATTTTTTTTGTCAGATGATATTGCCAGTTAGTGGGCGAAAAATAGATGAACTCATTTCTGATAGATGGAGACTTGGCACAACCCAAAATTACATTACAAGGAAATTTGACATCCCATTCTAATTATGTCATTCATGAATGTTTATAACTTTAATTTGTACATTTTATATGGATGGAATGGGAAAAAGAGACCAGTTGTCATTGTCCAGTTTCTTATTTTCCTTGATTTGTGTGCTTCAGCTTTCACTTCTTACAGCTCCTAAGAGTCTAAAAAGGTAACATCCAAGGTACTGGCCTAGAAAATATTTGTTCTCAGAGACAATGGTTTCTTGAATAGGATAAAAGAAGAGAAGAGATGCAAATGCATTTTTCAATAATGTTATTAATTTTTAAAAGAGAAAATGATAGCATATATTAACCTAATTAATTATATATGAAATTAATAATAACTGTTAATGTATCAGTTAATGATATGTGAAATTTTATATTATATAGCTTTTAGCTGCTACTCATCTTTACCCTAAATTTCTCAAGGTCTTAGTGGAAAATTCTGGATGAAATTTTATCTCTCTATCAAGAGAAGTGAATAGAATATTTCCCTTGGTAGAAGTTGTAGGTTAATTAATAGGCTAATAAAGGGAAATTAGACTTACTAAAAATAACAAGGGAATATCTTCGTATTGACACAATGTTGAGCATCAGTATGTTAGTTTTATTCACAATGTCAAAAGAATTTTAGCTACAAACAGAAAAAAGCTTGAAAAAAGACTTTAAGATATAGATTAGTATGTAATATTACTGAATGCATATTAAAATGTATAATTTAGACTCAATTTGAAATAAATAAATATATAAATATATTAGAGGCTGCTTTACATTTTGAATTGCTCAGCAATTTTAAAACCCCAGCAATTCACATGCTGTTGCAATTGGTTTTCTGAGAGAGTTCTTATCATTATGTCAAATGTTGTTCTTACAGAATAAACTGTGACATATAAAGGCTTATTAAAAAAAACAGGAGGTCAAGAAGTAAGGGACTAGATATAGTTAAAAATGATTGGGGTTTACTCTAACTGATTGTAACAAAGAAAGATTAAGTTCAACAGTTCACCAGTTGCCACTTGGAATGTAATGGAAAACAATTATATTAAACTCTTAAATTTCTTGGGTTTTTTTTTAGCAAATGATACTTCAAATATGAAATGGCTATTGAACGGAAATAACCACAAGATAGTAGCCTTTTGAAAAAAAAAAACCCAACCTTGTTTAATGTATTTGCAACTCTTCTGGTTTGGTGACCTTTTGTTGATAGCCGTAGACTTCTCTGAAGTCACTAAATGAAACGTCAGTCAAAACAGAAGTTTATCAGTGTTTTCTCTGATCTTTACATTTGCTTGTATTTTATTTTCATTTCACACAACATAAAAGCATTCCATTTTCAAAACAGAAGATGAAAATGAGAAATTCTAGCATCAAAGAAGGAACTATGTGTGTGAAGTACAAGAAATTACCAACTAGAATGCACAACATTGTTAAGTAGAAGGCATTCATGCTGTAATCTGTAATGTCTGTTTCAGATTTTTAAGTACATAGAAACACATTGACAATCTCCAAATAATTTTGGAAACATTGGGGAATTTGTAATGAAAAATACAAATAACTAGTGCTTTGCCCTTTATAAGACTTATTATTCTCCAGTAAACTTTTCTCCATCTGAACAAGTGTTATGAAAAGTATTGAAGTTTTTTAATCACATGATTAACTGTATAGAAGAATGAATTTAGATATGAAATCCTATTGCAAAAACCAAACTGGAATTACTTTGGTACTAGGTACTTGAGAATCTGTTGTGGAAAAGCCGTTTACAATGGGTTATAACTGATGAACATTTGCCACCAAAGACAACATATATATACACAAAAAGGGGGAGTAAGTAAGTGAGCTAGACATGAGCTCAGTTTGGAACAATTATATTCATGATGCTCATCTGTGGAAAAAGTATTTTGTTGTGAAATACCTGTTAAATTTGATAAGGTATATGTCAAAATCAGTTGAAGTATGTTTTTAGGTTCAGATTTCAATTTTTGGTCATTTTCTTTAAAAACAATTTTAACCTATTTTGTTGACTTTTTATAAAGAGATTTGTAGATAAGTATACTTTATATAACCTGCTCTATTCCAGTGAAATGACATTATAGAAATGACTGCAAACTAAGTTATGTGCTTATCTTTGCTGATGTGGGTGGTATTTCTACTCTCTGTGGTACTCATTCAAAAGTTAAGTTTAATCATAAGGTTAAAAGAGAAAGTAGTTTCATTGAAAAAAATCTTCTAAAAATATCAGATTTTCTGCATGATATAGACTGAATTCTTATTATTGTATTCAAATCAAATGCATGAAATATTCCCATATGAACAAATTCTGTTTTGAGATATGCATGTTGATTTCTTTTTCGGTATGTTTGGATCTGGGTTTCACACAGACAAAGCATAGGCTGCAGTGTGTCTTTACAAAAAATGCTAGTGGAGCAAATTTGTTTGCCTGATATTATGACACTTGGGCTACAAAGATCGCTCATTTCCTCAGGGAATTCAGTCATGATTCACACCATTTTGAAGCCAGAGATGTGGAATGTTGTTTTATTTTTACGGGGAATTTTCAATCTGTGTACTATAATGAAGTCTTTAGGCATTTCCTAGAAGATTCTTCACTCTGAAGCCCACTTTTCTCTAATGTCTTCCTAATGATTGTGACTTGACAAGTCTAAGATGTGTTTTATTTGTTTTTAGCCTTGAGGTATAAAATTCATTCAGATAGATATTGTTTGGTATTCATCAATGCATTAAAACAATATCACATGGTTTTCTAACTTGCTATTAGTCATGTACAGAAACAGTACGATGGACTCAATGTCAGGATGGATGTGTTCGCTTCACAGCCTTTAGGAAAAATTCTCCACTGTCTCAAATTACTCTTCAGCTCTGGAATAGCACAGATTATTTCTCTCAAATTTTATTAAACCCACCAACAGCTAACATATTCACTGTAGGTTCAATTTGAAGCTAATTTTCTACCGTCTCAAGCATGACTTTTCCACTGAAACATTAATGGGGGAAAATAGCTGCATAAATATAAATCCATAACAATATAATTTATGCAGACATCCCTACCTATGTTTTGTTGTGGTGTCTGTCACTATTACAGTCTCTCGAGTGAACTATAAGAAAGGTTAAAAAAACTGAAGGAAAAAAATCATTAATTATGTGTAATTTTTCAGCACCCAACTGTGAAATTAAAAGTTGCTTTTTCCTTTCTAAACTCTCCAAACATATTTTCACTTACCTGTCTGAAAAGCTTCTCAGGGAAAAATCTTCCATGTCTTCTATACTGCTTTTTGGGTTTTATTTCAATTTTAATATTAATTTAAATGAAACATTTATATGCCATAGGTCCAGATGGAAAATAAATTGCATATTAGACTGTACACCTCTTTTCCTGAACAATACATAATGCAGACTAAGTTATGCGTATGTCTAAGAATGCAGGCATCAAAATGGACAGTAGTGCTTCTTTACATTGACATCCAAGAAATCCACAGTATTTAGAACAAGACTTCCCTTTTGTTCCATGTCAGTTAATTGCATTAATAGATGCAGTTAATGCAGATGCAACCAGAAAAGCCTTTCTATTACTTCCTAGGAACTCAAGGGTAAAATATTAATATATGAGAATACCTTCAGTATGTGAGATTTTGATCTGGAACACTTCACTGTTGAGCTAGAACAACAGAGGAAGATTTCATGCATTTAATTTCCTATCAGTACAGTCACATGTTGTTCTTTACAGTATCAATATAATTGACAATGAATAGAAAGGAAGTCCTAAACTTAGTAAAGCTTTGGGAAAAAGTACATTTCATGCAGAGTCCTTTTTTAATTTTGAAGAGAATATTTGTGTGTTTTCCTGAGTTTTTTTTCACTCTGTTAGATTCATACCACACTATCTTCTCTAATACAACTTGGCAGAGCACAAGGAACACAACTTGATTTGGGTAGTCACAGTGCAATGTGTCCTCAAGACAACTTTGAAAACAAAAGAACGAAGTACCATGAGACAGACTGTGGGAAATAGTCTGGGTCTTTTTTTTTGTAACAAGCAGTAAAAAGCATATTTTGGAACAAGTACTTCTCACTCTCTTTCTGACTTGTATATTTTTGTTTTATACATTATACAGTGGTGGATCCCTTCAATGAAGCAGTAACAGTACAATCTAAAGGAGTATGTGTCGTTCGCAAAATATGCTTGGACAGACTCTTAAAATAGAGGAAAAGAAATCTCCTCTCCATCCTGCCCAGGAGGAAAAAAAGAGGGAATGAGAGTTGCCGGCTGGCTTTAAACCACACCACCTGTCACACAGAATCATAGAATTGTAGAATCGACTGGGTTGGAAAAGACCTTTAAGATCATCAAGTCCAACCATTAACCCAGGACTGCCAAGTCCACCCCTAAACCACATCACTAAGGGCCTTAGCTACCCGGTTTGTGAATGGTTCCAGGGACGGTGACTCCACCACTACCCTGGGCAGCCTGTTCCAAAGCTGATCATCCTCTCTGTGAAGAAAGTTTTCCTAATATCCAATCTAAATCTCCCCTGTCTCAGCTTTAGGCTGTTACCTCTTGTCCTATTGCTTGTTACTGGAGAGGAGACAGACCCCACCTCACCCCTGCCTCCCATCAGGTAGTTGCAGAGATCAATAAATTCCCCCCTGAGCCTTCTCTTCTCAGACTAAACACCTCCAGATCCCTCAGCTGTTCCTCATCATGCTTGTGCTCCACACACTTCACCAGCTTTGTTGCCCTTCTCTGGACTCGCTCCGGCACCTCAATGTCTCTCTTGTAGTGAGGGGCCCAGAACTGAACATAGGATTCGAGGTGCACAGACATGTCTGCACAGTCCCTCAGCATGCTCCGACTGCCGCTGCTGCTGCCCAGAGCGACCACTGACACGCTAGGGAAGGACGGCCACAACTGCCCAGCTCTCTGCCGCATGCCTTATCAGTTATACTTACCTCCTCTTCTTAAATCACTTTGCCTTCTAAAGAATCACAATTAGGCTTAGTGCTAAGAAAAAAGCCTTTCAGTCTGAAGGATGACTACATGACTATCAGGTAACAAAAAATAAATATCCTTCTGTCTTTTTTAATGTTCATATTCTGCAGATGATGTAGTTTATTTAGGTTACTCACTAAGTGGTCACTCCCTGATGGCTGATGCTTCTAATGAATCGTTATTAAAATATGCAATAATTTCATTTTTCTATGAAACCTGTTTGGTCCCATAATCCAGAAAAAAAAACAAACACCACCAAACAAAACCAAACCACATTCAAAGAATTCTATTTTTTATGATCGTTACTGATTACTGAACCACAATGCATAATATTATTAGGAAAAGAAAATAAATAGTCATGATGATTTTCAGAAAAGCTCTTTCCCATTTATTTTTCCTTTCTGCAAATTATGGGATAAGCTAACTAAATGGACTTCAACAAGAAACTGTTCGGAATAGACCCTGTTCAGCAAACTGCATTTTAAGGAAAAGTCAATTATACCATATATATGGACAGAATTGCTGATCAGAAGTGTACTGAATTTGATTTTTTTCTTCCAATATAAGGTTTATGTACTAATCTTGCTACTTTCAATGGTCAAAAAAGAAAAAGAGTCAGCTTATTTTGCGTTGAGCTAGTAGTATTTTTCTTAACTCTGTCAGTTTTATATTCTCTTGTTATTTGTTTCTAAGGAGACATATCCTTAAAGATGTCCAAACAAAACACCCAAGTGCAACTTCTCTGTTTCAAGAAACAACAGACTAAAGCTTATCTGTCAAAGAAGTCTTATTTAACAAGTAATGAATTATATTTATTCAGCAATACCTCAAATATCGGAAACATCTTATGTATGAGCAGTTCTTTAGGTCTCACTGGTATGTCCATCTTTGAGAATATATTTCCTCTCTGATAGTTTCTATCTGTCCTTGTGAGCAAAGAAACCTCATTGTATGATTTCTTTGTGTGCTTAGTGATCATTACATTTGCGACCTTGGGCATAAATAATTATAAACTGCCATTGCTATTTCAAGAAGTTAAACGTCTGTCAAAAGTTTCAGATAACTGGCCCCATCTTATAAACCAGATTCTTCAATTTTCAAGTCCAGACCCTCAGTTACCCTTGTGGAACACTGAGAAAAAATCAGAAGTGAATGATCCTGTTCTGCCACTCCATGGTTATGGGTATGTGTTGCTCTTTTGGTAAAGGTAAGAGGCAAGACTCTTGGGTAATTTAGAAATGGCTATTTCTCACAAAGTTCGTGCCTACAGCTTATCCAAAGGATATATTTCACCACAGTGTAAGGAACTCTTGTAAGTCTGGGTTTGAGACAAGAACAATAACAAAAGAATGAAATTCATTTAGGAACACTGAAGATTTATGAAAGCAAGAGGTCACTTTTTTATAGGGGAGCCTTGTGGCTACTTTATTTTCCTTTTGGCAAACTGATTTGAAAACATTTGTTGCTTTAGATATGGTACTTGTACTATCTATAGTGACAAAAATAACCTAGATAAGAAAACACTAAATGCCACAAAAGCTAAAATTAACCTTTCTAATTGTTAGGCTTGAACTGCCACTAGAAGCATCTCTTACAGAGAAAAATAAAATTGGCTTTCAAGAAGAAAAATTAATTCTTTAAGTCACCATCCCGAAATCTTTCCAAAAGTGTTTGAACAAATACCTTCTCTTTTTAATTGTGTCAGCTACTAAGGCTCTATTTCACTCTTATCATGGAAATGCAAGCCAAGTTATTTCACAGTTTGATTCAGTGTTTCCCAATTGCATTTGGGATAAGATAGTGAAAGCATGCACAGGAGGTGATAAAATGTGGTGGATAAGCAAAACAAGCTCTTATTTTGTAAAAGTGGAGGACATGCTTCTACCCATCTGACTTAAAGAAAATGACAGCAAAAAACAAAACAAACAAAACCCCTACCAAATCAAATAAAATTCCCATAGCTCCTTCTCTTTGACTGTCATAATGGGACTTATTTCTATTTCAACCTTCTGACCACTGCAGTCAGCGCTTTTGAAATACTTTTTAACCTGAAAGGAACTCTCAGCGTGCTGAAAACAGTTGAATGCTTAAGACAAAGTGAAGGAATTCTTCGCTTCTTTGAAGTTCTTGGAGTTTGTTTAAAACAATGATGTATGACTATATTTTTTTTCCATGGAACATAACAAAAAATTGGTCAAATATAAAGAGAAATACATAGAAAAATATGTTTGTTCATATATGAAAATATTTGGGAGAATGATGGAAGCAGGAAAATTTTACAGCCCTGACATTTTTAATTAGTATTTAAACTTACATAGCTAACACTGTGACATTCTCTCTTTGTTCATTCACATAAAATCAGTGGATCACAATGAATGACTCATTTAATGTGATAATCATGTAATCATTTTTAAGCAATGATACTTAATTTTTTTAGTATGTTTTTCACTGAACCTGAGTATTTTAGAGTACTAAAATGTTGCAGGAATTTTCATGTGATTTAGACAACAGTCTCTTTTACGAAGAAAGTGTTACCTTGAATTTATTAAAAGTTCTTTTAAAGAAGAGCTGTGTTTTTTCTTGGTCTTATCCATTTCTTTTAAGATCATTCCAAATGATTGGAATGGCCTATTCAGAGGCCATTTTTCTATTAGAACAATATTCTTATTTATATCTGGATAATGGGTTCAGCCCTAAAAAAAAATTGTAATTTTATAGTGTTCATTTTTTCCTTGGGGAATTAAAAGTTGATGTTAATTATTTTAATCAACTCTTAAAAAAAATAGATTAAAAATACAATATGTAAACATGGGACAATATAAAATACAAATGGATTGTCAGGGTCCAAAACTTTGTGTAGATACTATTTAGAAATCAATTGAAAATATGTTTTTTATCTCAGACATTAGAACATAATTCTGTTCTTCAAGTAGATATGGTAGTCTTTAAACAGTTATTGCAAATTTACAAGTAAATAAGTTGATTATTAAAACTCATTTTCCTATAGTTGCTCTCAATTAATTGTTGGATTATTCAATTTGTTGGTAATGGGTAATTCTCAAACTAGGTAAGGTTTTAGTCTGGTGAAACTCACTACTCATCCTCTCTCAAGTAATAACTCACACTCAAAAAAGAGGACGAATTGTACAAAATAATTTTAAAAGCTTTTTCCTATGCTTTCCAACTTCATTGCTCTCTTCTCGAAACTTGCAACATCTTCTTTTTTAGAAAGAGTTATACTTTATCCAAAAGAAAGAATGAGGATCTTATTTGTTACCAATATACATGCTTAAGAGTGCTTTCTCTTT